GGCCTGGTTTTAAGGCCTCTGAGTAGAGTTCCCAAGCTGAGCTCCTCTTAAGCCCAATGAAAGGGTGTGTGGTTTGGGGTTTAGGGTTCCGGGTTTGGGGTGGAAGCATAACATCTCCCGGGGTCCTACCAGTACCTGGTACTTTGGGCTTAGGGTTTACGGTACAATGCAACTCGTGACCGGGAGGGCCTGCGTGAAGTCCAGCAGTCCGGACGGCAATGCCCAGGTGGCCTGCCCGCAAAGCAGCGTGGTGCTCAGCAGGTGATACAGGAGCCTAGGCAACAATTAACCAGGTTAGCCTCATGTGACCTATTTTTTTGCAGTTCCAATACAAAAACAACCATCAAACAAAGAGGCACTATAAATCTTACAGTTCCAATACAAAAATGCCCACCCCAAGTACCTCCAAATAGAGAGGCCCCTAGAGTATGATACTAAGCCCTAAACCCTAAACCCTAAACCCTAATCGGAAGAGTCTGCCTGTTCCCCCCCGCGCAAACAGCCTTGCTTAGGCGGCCAGCGAGATCCACGAGAGCTTCGAAGCGGAAGCTGAAGTCTCCTGTGCCAGGAGACAGAAAGAGAAAGAAAAAGGAACCTCAAGTAGATGGGTTTAGGGTTTAGGGTTTAGGGTTTAGGGTTTAGGGTTTAGGGTTTAGGATTTAGGGGTAGGGTTTAGGGTTTAAGGACGAAAAACAGCTTTGTACCAGATTCTGTCACTCTGTCCTGTTCCATCCTGCGTGGCTTTGCGATGAAGGGTTGATTTTGACAAACCCAATTAAGACCCCAAAACCCCAAAGCCTTCAAATCTAAAAACCTACAGTCATAAACCCTCACCCTGAAATCCCTAAAGTCTCAAACCCTAATGCCCTGAACTTCCTGGCCTCCTGTGATCGCCAGTTCGGAGGTGTTGTACGAAGACCCGACGAGCGCGAGCCTTTTTTCAAGGGTGTGGAGAAACGTCGGGATCAAACCCTTGAACCCTAAGCCCTAAACCCGAAGCCTATCACCTGATGTAGGGTTTAGGGTTTTGGGTTTAGGGTTTAGGGTTTAGGGCCAAGTTTAGGGTTTAGGCTCTCTTTGCAAGCTCGTGGCTGTGCAGGCAGCAGCGGCTTCCGCTGCTGGAGGTCAAAGGTTGGAAGAACCTCATCCAGGGTTTCATAGGGTCTAGGGCTATAGGGCCTAGGGGAGCATCGACCCGACTCTCCTTCTTCATTCGTGCTGGGAGTGCATCTCTGATCTCGAGGGCTTGCGGCAGCAAAGGCGCCCGAAGCTCGAACCGGAGCGGTTGAAGATGCCACGGGTTTCCTGAAAACTGCCGAAGGAAGCGTCCTACCTCTTCCTTTGGTATACGGTAGACCTAGGGACGACATGGGGTTTGGGGTCTGGGGCTTCCAAGAAATGGGGGGAGGGTTCCCTTTTTTTAGGAGGTCCTTTCCGGGAATGACCCCATGGGTGCTAAAAACCATGGGCTCTTTGGAGGATCTCTGTTGTAATATGCGTCTTGTCGTTTAGGGTGCCAAAAGGGCCAATCATGTAGATCAACCCAAGCAAAAAGAACAAGAATTTGAGTTTATAGGGGTCCCCAACATACTGTAGACCTCAGAAATTAGCCTAATAGTGAAAAAAGATTCCTGGCTACCAGCAAATCTCTCAGTGCCCCTCTCCCTCTCTCTCCCTCTCTCCCGCTCTCTCCCGCGCTCTCCACCTCTCTCCTTTCTCCCCCTGGCTCCTCCTCTCTCCTCCTCTCTCCCCCTCTCTCCCCCTCTCCCTCTCTCCTTCTCCCTCGCCATCTCCCTCTCCCTCTCTCCATAGCTCTTTCTTTACTTCGCGGGGCATGGGGGTGGACAGGTACGGCAAGGTACTGGAGGTTGCCCCAGACTTCTTGTTTTCTTCTCTCTGCCCCTCTCTCTCTGTCTCGCTCGATCGCTCGCTCTCACTCCCTCTCTCTTTCTCTCTCTCTCGCTCTCGCTGTCTCTCTCGCTCTCTCTCGCTGTCTCGCTCGCTCGCTCTGGCTGTCTCCCTCGCTCCCTCGCTCCCTCGCTCCCTCGCTCCCTCGCTCCCTCGCTCCCTCGCTCCCTCGCTCCCTCGCTCCCTCGCTCCCTCGCTCCCTCGCTCCCTCCCTCGCTCCCTCGCTCCCTCGCTCCCTCGCTCCCTCGCTCCCTCTCTCCCTCTCTCCCTCTCTCCCTCTCTCCCTCTCTCCCTCTCTCCCTCTCTCCTCTCCCTCTCCCTCCCTCTCCCTTCTCCCCTCTCTCTCCTCTCATCCTCCCTCTCGTCCTCCCTCTCTCCTCTCTCCCTCTCTCCTCTCTCCCTCTCCCTCTCTCCCTCTCTCCCCCTCTCTCTCCCTCTCTCCCTCTCTCCTCTCTCCTCTCTCCCTCTCCCTCTCTCCCCTCTCTCCTCTCTCCCTCTCTCCCTCTCTCCCTCTCTCCCTCTCCCTCTCCCTGTCTCGCCCTCTCTATCTCTTCTCTTTCTCTTTATCTTTCTCTTTCTCCTTCTCCTTCTCCTTCTCCTTCTCCTTCTCTTTCTCTTTCTCTTTCGCTTTCTCTTTCTCTTTCTCTTTCTCTTTCGCTTTCTCTTTCTCTCTCTCTCTCTCTCTCTGCTCAACAGCAGCTCGTTGAGGAACCTTTCTGACCCCCCGCTTTAGTCTGACATGCTTTCGTTTTCGTGTCTCAATGCCGGTGGCAACACATGCTGACAACATGCTGCGAAATCAGAGACATCTGGGATGGGGTTGAGATCAGGACGGCTAAACCCTAAACCCTAAACCCTAAACCCTCAACCCTCAACCCTAAACCCTAAACCTCGGAAAACCGTACCCAAACTGAGCCAGAGCGTCGCAGCACACTCATGGCCGAGCCATCGGCTGGGGCAAAGCTGACCTGCTGCAGGTCAACGTAGGTGCCCTGGGGCTTTACCTGGTAAACTTCAGCCTGAAACCCTAAACCCTAAACCGATAAGCCTTACATCCTGAAACCCAACTTCTTGTGAACTCATGCGAACTCAAAAACCTTAACTTGTTGTAAGATGGCTAAGAATCTGAATGAGGGGTTTCGGAGAGGCTTCGTTCCAACATTCCCATCAAAATTCACTCCTTCTCCAGCTGGGGTGTCAGAGTGGGCACAGCAGCTTGAAGCAATAAATGGGCAGTTTTCTTCATTGGCGTGATCCGCAATTGAAAGGGGGCTTTGGGGCTCAAGACCTAACCCAGATACCCCAATGCCCAAGAACCGAGCAAGCCAAAACCGCCCAAAAGAGCTCAAAACCCGAAAGTAACACCAAGCCCAAAAGCAACCAAACCCTACCCCCTAACCCCTAACCCCTAACCCCTAAACCCTAAACTCTAAACCTTTAAACCCTCAAGTGGACCCCGCCTGGCGGTGCATGGGCCAGAATCGCACTGCTTGGAGCAATCCAGAGTCAGAAAAGACTCCTGCTTAGCGTTGAGAGTTTTGGTGTTTAGGGCTTGGGTTTAGGGGTTTAAGCTCTTAGGGTTGAGACTGTTGGGGTTTAGGGCTTGGGTTTAGGGGTTTAGGCTCTTAGGGTTTAGGGCTTGGGTTTTCGGGTTTAGGGTTCTATGCTTTTAGGGGTTAGGGCTTGGGCCTTCAGGTTTATGGATGTTGAGGCTTTAAGGCTTTACGGCTTGGGGCTTTAGGGCATGCACGCCAAACATACACTCAACCCAAAACCCGAAACTGCACCCGAAGCCCGAATGCCCCTACACTCCCGACTCTAACCTCGAAACTCCCTGTAACGTGTGCAGCGATGGTCCTACATGGGATTTCTTGCTCTAAAACGTAGAATCTTGAGTTTTGGGCATCTTAATCCCACACCCTAGGGTTTAGGGTTTAGGGTTGAGGGGTTCACCCCAACCTTTGAAGCCCTGAAAGCCTAATCCCAAACAAGTTGAGTCCTGCCAAATGGTAGAACCCATCTGGGCTGCATAAAGAGCTGGCTTGGCACTTCACGGCCAAGACCTGCCATCACCACACCCCGGGTCAAATGCCGGTGTAGGGGCCTGGGGGGGCTCCATGGAGTTTCGGGTTTCAGGGTGTAGGGCTTTAGGGTCTTATGACTTTAGGGGCTTGAGGTGTGGGGCTCTTCTGTGCCGGGGGTCGGGCACTTTAGGGTGCTTCAGGTATTGGAAGCCGTCAACGCCCGGCCTGGCGCAGAGGCTTTGGCAGCCAGGCATTTCTTGCGGCCTGCAGGCAGAATCAAATTCAACTCTGCCACCCCAAAACCGGATTTGGAATCATGATGACTGGCGGGTTCTTGGTGGGGAATGAGGGAATAAGGGGCTCTAATATATACTCTTTAAGGGACTATATTGGGCCCTCATTCCCTCATTCCCTACGAAGAGCCAGGGTTAATGAAGGATGCATCCCCACTTGCCTTGTCTTCCCTTGGACTGAAAAGGTGGAAAGTGAACATCCCATGTAGCTGTCCACCAACCATGGCATGACCCTATGACTTACTTCTCCAATGACCAAGGGGAAAAAAGGTTAAACTTTAATATTCCTACTAAATAAGGAAACCCAAAAAAAAACTAAAGGCGAAGTAAGACGACCACCAGTACTTGAAGGAGACAGCTGCTAAGCTGGAAGATGTCTGAAGGGCAACTGCCCTGGGAAGGGCTGCTGCAGTCGTTTGGCGGTTTAGGGCTTAGGTTTGAGGGTTTTAGGGTTTAGGTTTGAGGGTTTAGGGTTTGGGGTTTGGGGCTTTGGGTTTAGGGTAGTTTCTGCCTCATCCCAATCCCTGGGCAACCTGCACCGACCGAATGACACCAATGCCACGGCACGACTGTAAGGAGAGGCCTGGCTTGTCTTTGCAAAACACGTGCGGAGGGTAGGGTTTCGTATGCATCTGCAACTGGCATCGCCTCTGCGTTTGCAGGTGCGTGGTTAAAGAGTCACAGTATGTCACAGTGCATTTGAGGAAGATAACAGGCTCTGCACATCAAGAACCCAGCTGCACCGAGGTGCTGCCTGTTCCAGGCTCTCTTAAGTCTATATCTCAAAAAAATCATCATCCAGCGGAGCACTCTTGCCTTGAGCCTTGGCTCGAGCTGCAATCGCCCCAACATCCATGAGGAGTTTGTGGCCATCTTGCCACCCAACGAAGAGGCCGTCGGCGCCGAGGAGCAAGTCCTGTAGGCGCTGGTTGAAGTCCGCAATGTCGGGCTCGGTTCCGATCTTTGCAAGGATCGCCTCCTTATCCTCCACCCTCGAGGCAGCGCAGTCTTCTACTCGCAGGGAGCTGAGGCGTGGCGCGTTCTGCTCCAAGACTTCGGGTGAGTGAAGGACAACATGCTGATCCATCTGGCTGCTGTGCGCCTGCACCAATTCTGCGACCTGAGTCTCCAAGCAAACGGCTTTTCAGTGGTCATGCTTCAATGTAAACGGGTTTTCCGGAAACGCCTGTAAATTCGCAGCAGAACGCCCGTAATCCTTGACCTGAAACGCCCACAATTCCCACATCGCCGACTTGGTCCACTGTCTTTGGAGGGCCTTCGGTAGGGTTTTGTGGCGAGCCAGCTTAGAGCATGCCAGCAGGGGCTGCAAGGCGTTTCAGGGCTTAGGGTTTAGGGTTTAGGGTTTAGGGTTGGTTGAGGGTTATGGCTACCCCATTTCCTTCCAGGGTCCCTGTCCTCGTGGACAGGAGGAAGCACAAAGCTCCCACAAAGTACTTCGAACCCTGCCCTAACCGAAGTCAAAACCGACTCAAGCTGGAAACAAGAATCCTAAATAGAGCAAATCGTGTTTTGGAGGTTGCTGGAAGGACTTTCCACCCAAACGCCCACAATTTCAGGAGGGTAGTGCTGCCACCGGTTTAGCATGAAGGTCCCACGATTATGCGAAGCTGCCTAACTTCATTCTGTGTCTGACAGCAAGCCTTCAGCTTCAGATTTCCCAAATATTCACGGTTTAGGGCTAGGGTTTAGGGGGGTGTCATCTACATTCCTGCTAAAACTGCTGCCACTTTACCAAACAAGGCCCCAAACATTTTGTCAAATGTGGCCAGGGTTTCACACTACTCCCACGGGACCAAATTGTGCAATCCCAACCTCTTCGACTGCAATTGTCCGAAACAACCCCTTATATTCACCCTCAAAGACAGGTGCGTATACGGCATGCGCCCAAACGCCAAACAAAAAGTAGTGGCTTATTGCCCTTTTACAGGTTCCAGTGACGCACCAGGCCCTCGAGAACAAGTCGAACCGGCTGTCCACTGCAACCACCTGGGGGAGTTCTTCTGCTAAATGAGGGTTTCGGGTTAGGGGTTTAGGGGTGAGGCTCTGAAATACAGTAAAATTCCCTTGCTGTTCGGAAAACTAGTTCGAAGGAACAGCACCTACTGTACAAGGGGACCCTGATGTACATGCATCCCCCACCTGAAGAAAGCCCCTTGGATAGCGCTGGTGCAGATATTCCATCACGCTGTCGAACTTGTTGAGCTCGCAGCGAATTCGTTGATCATTAAGATACTTCGGCGTGAGGCAGTCACATGAAGGCAGCACCTCACCCGAAACAGTGTCCAGTCGCCCCATGGAGTCACCACAGATGGAGGCATGCTGATTGATGCAGAAGGCACAAATCCAGTAGCCTTAGTGGTCTTGAACAAGGAGTCAGAACTTAGACTCAGAACCCTTTAAGAGAGTATATAGGGGTGCCCAGCTCCCAAACTTGCTCAGAACCAGGTCCAGTAGCACCAGCGAAGCGCGCCACAATCCTGTAGTCTCTTCCTAAGGGATGCTTCACGGCCGGCCTGGAGCTGGTCCGCTATGCTGTCCCAACGAGTCAGGCCGAGACTGTCTGCTACCACAGCAGCGACAAGGTCACGAAAACAGTTCGCCCAATGGTGGGTGACCATACGGGGTGGCGACTGAGCGGCAGAGAACCATCTTCTGGATGTTGCTTCGAGCATGAAAATCTCCGCTAAGGCCCTGCCCACGTCGTCGCATCGGGACCGCGGAATGATAGCGTGGCGAACGACATCGTTCGTGGTGGACCTCCCTGCATCAAAATGCGGCATCAGGGCCGTCATGACGCCCTTTTGAGGGCTAAGCTGCGCGTGGAAGTCCAGCAACTGACCCACCGTGATCCGCCGATTCGAGATCTGCTGGACAATGTCTTCCCAAGCACACTTCTCGCAGCTCGGATCTCTGGCATGCCTCCAAGACGAGACAGACAGCACTTTCGCCACAATGGACTCCTCGCGCTGCGAGCGCGAATGTCCAAAGGAACTGACTGATCGGGTCTTCCCAACCTGCTGACATGTGCACTCGAGGTCCTGCTGTAAGTAGGATGTCCGGGGTCTCTGCTGAGCGTCCGGGGTAGATGTAGACATGTCAGAGGAGCTGCGTTTCGGGGCAAGCCCAGCCGAGTTTCGCTTCGAGAGAGAGAGGCGGGATGATCCCGGGAAGGTGATCTGGTTTCCTGACAACAGTGTCAGGCCGAGGATGTTTCCGATCATGTTGCACATATGCCCGTACTGGTACGCGGAGAATACGAGCTTCGAAGGAGCGAAGAGCCTCAAACCGAAGGCACCATGGTGCCAAACCATGGACAGGCCGGCCAAGATTACAGCGAGCTGAGACCGACGGAGTACTTTCCTTGCAAAGGCCATGTCGTCCTCCAGCTGTATCGATGCGCGGCTTGAGCCATGCCGTAGACTGTGCACACTGTCACTGCCAACGCCATCTGAAGCACTGGGATCCCCCTGAGCTGCTGGCATTGCTGTCAGTGCCTTCAATGGAACTTGGATTGACAAGCACATCAGGAGCGTCAAGGATCCCAACCCCAATGTCGAAGCTGCAAAGCCCACAAAGATGACCGCGTTGGGCAGGAGGCCGACAAACGTACCCGACAAGGCGCAGGCGGTGACGATGCGGCAGAGCCATCTGATGGGCTGAGTGAAGGGAAGAGGCTCCCCGAATGACTCCTCCAGGGCACGAAGCCTGACTTGCATCAGCCGGAGGCACCAAATGTCACAAAAGAACAGCATGGTGCCGCTAGCGGGCAAGAGGAATCTTGCCAGCGGCTGGGTGACATAGGCACTGTCCCTGACGCCGTCCTTGTTCCGATCAGACCCGGTGCAGGTCCACATAACCATCCCCGCTGTCTTCATGGCCTGGGCCGCCCAGGTAAAAGCAACACATCTCCATGAGTCGCGAACGTAGGTTGAGGCAGGGTGTTCTGCTAACACAAGGTTAACAACAATCGGCAGCAAGATCCAGTTCACTGCATGCAGAGCCCACATTAGCGTCCAGAAGTCGCCGAAGTGGTACCCGTGGCGGGTCTCCATGGTTGGTGAGAATGCGCTGCAGCCTTCGTGGCCTCCATAAAAAGTCCATGGCATGAGAGTAATAAAGGCAGTGCTCAGCAAAAATCCGGCCGCCAACACGATCCGAGTAGAGTAGACGAAGGGTCTCGAGTGCCGCTTTAATACCCAGTGGCCCATGACATACGCGGCAAAGGCAATGACTGTGGATCCTGTCAGTAGGTTCCAGAAGCATAGCCCAATTCCCACCAGGCTCACAAGAATTCCAGCGGCCCAGCGCAGATACAGGGGATTGATATCTGCGAAATAGGTCATGAGGGCCACGTTTCTTGAGCCATCATGCCTCTTGTTTCACTTGCTACTGGCCTGCCTCTCTCCCGAGTTCAGTCTGCGATGGGCTCTCGACACCGAGTTCTCATGACAGGACCCCATTCTTAGAACCCTAAACCCTAAACCCTAAACCCTAAACCCTAAACCCTAAACCCTAAACCCTAAACCCTCCAAGTGGGCTCCAAGGAAGGCATCAGCGTCCCAGGCCTCTGCCCAAAGGCTGGCAGATAGCAGCGCTTGCGAGGTCTGTGGGCTCGGAGGGTTTAGGGTTTCGGGTTTAGGGGTTGGAGTTTAGGGCTTTTCGTAGGGTACCCTAAACACCCTAAACCCTAAACCCTAAACCCTAAACCCCAAACCCCTATACCCTGAACCTCGGGGCTTGGCAGGACCTGGGGTAGTGGAAGGGGCCTGGGTGTAGTGGTATATAGAAGGAGGGCGGACCCTGGCACGTGTGTATCAGTACTGTATACCCCTAAACCCGAAACCCTAACCCCTTACTGTGCAATGTAAACACAAAACACCATGTTAAACATGTGTATGTATAAAGTTTGTTGCTTGCTCCAAGCCCGATGACAACATCCTGAAAACCGGGCTCAGGGTTCCCCAAGCCCAAAAGCCTAAGCCACAGCGCTTTTTGGGGGTTTAGGGTTGAGGGGCCTAGCCCCCCAAAACCCTAAACCCTAAACCCTAAAACCCTAAGCCCTAAACCCTCAACCCTAAACCCTAAACCCTAAACCCCAAATCCCAACCCCTCTTCATCCTTGGACGAATCCACCTCCAGTACTTGAGGCTGCCCGCGCAGCTCCAGGGCACCTCCTAACGCCAGCATCTTCGCCTCGGTGTTTAGGGTTCAGGGCTCGGTGCGACTGGCTGCCTGGGTGAACTTCGGAGAGATTGTTGCTGAGGCAGCCCCACACCGCCAGCGTCACTCAAGCCCCTATAAGAGAACTGCCCAGTGTGATGGGCATGTTCCAAAAACAAGGCCTGCACACCATGTACCAAGGTGCCATGAGCCACTCGACCTCGTCACTGCTCGTTGCGCGTGTGCTGCCTGCACACGTCACACGTCATGGCTTTAGGGTTTAGGGTCTAGGGTTTAGGGTTGGAGGTTCGCAACCGCTGCTTCTGAGACTTGGGACTATCTTGAAAACCTGGCTGATACTGCACAACAGGCGGCGGAAAGCCTGCATCATGAGAAAGTGTAGGTTGGCCCTTTAGACCTTCTGAAACTTGAGTTTCCAGGTTCTCAGAATACAGACAATAAGATCCTTCGAAGCACAAGAAAGGAAAACATGCAAATTGCAAACCAAGCACCTACCTGAAGTGCCTACTGTGCTGGTACCGGAATAGTAGTGGAGAAGCACTCGGAGTTGTATCGGAGACCGGAGTTGTAGTATTGGAGTAGTACCGGTGTAGTACTGGAGTAGTACAAAACAATCCGAAGCACAAAAAAGAGAACGAGAAAGTTATCCCAGATTGGAATCTTTATTCTCCCGGCTTCACATAAAGCTAACAAAGGAAGCCCCCGTTTTTGTTAACTGCTAGTGCGCCGGGTCAAACCCTAGCATTAAACACTAAGAGAGGGTGCCCCACCCCCAAACATTAGGGGAGAAGCTGAGAAGCTTCTTCGAAGCAAAACCCGCCAACTCCCGAAATCGGTCTCAACCCAGTCCAGGTACCTGTCGGGCTATCCTGCGTCACATGGAAAGCACCCAGCTCATAGGCCTGGGAGGGGATGGGTTGCTGAGGGATGCTTAGGATTTAGAGGGTTTGCTAGGCCGTTCGGGTGTTCAGTGTTGAGGGTTTGGGGGTTCTTCCGCAGCAACAGTAAAACTTGACCGCTGCATAGTTTGGGGGCATAATGCTGCCTCTCATCTGCATGAGCCAAGGATCGTGGAGCCAATCATAGCCTTAGCAGCTCTTGCAAGCTTCGAAAGGTTTAGGGTTTAGGGCAGGCCTTCATTACCTGGTCAGCGTGTTCAGCCTCACAGACATGAATGACGCCTGGCCTTCCAGATGCAGTGGCGACGCCACAGCAAGCTCTGCCTGCGCAGGGGCTTGCAGTAGGGAGATGATTAAGGACCTCCAGCTCTAGGAGCTAGCAGCTTGCCGCCTGATCGCGTCTTGTTGCATCAGTTCTGCTCAAGCTCAACAACTGTGCAACCCCTTAGTGCAACAATAAAAATGTTCTACTGATATACTAGTAACATATAGTCATATAATTATATTCTTAATGACACAACATAATAGTAGAAAATGGTGCGAGAGTGGGATGATCCATTCACCCCAGGGATGCTGTGTGCATGGCTCAGAGCACTGGGCTTTGCCGTGTCAACTGAATGCTGCTGAGATAGCTCAGCGGCATTTTTGTTGGGGTGCTTCGGTGGTCTCTTGAACGTGATGGAGAACCGCTTATGACATCCCTCATCTCCCACTCCATGGATTGAAGACATGAGGAGATGAGATGAGGCATGTAGATTCATGCCGGAGGCGCAGAGATTGAATCCCGAGGATCTTTGTTCCGAAAAGCTAGGCACACTTGGAGGTGCTAGTTTCGCAAACTACGCCAGGCTTCAAGCTCCTAGTTTTGCTTTCATGATCGTGGCGGTTGTGACTTCCAGCGTCTCTTTTGTATCGTGGGGGGGGGGGGGGGGGGCTGCGTTGCGAATCATACCCTAATAAACTTAGGCCCTAAACCTTCTACCCTAGACCCACGACATCCTCTCTGAGGCCTAAACCTTTAGGGTACAAGGCTTAGGGATCCCTACACCGAACCCAACCCCGAGCCCTGAACCACGAAACACTCAACTCCTGAGTCCCCCCTTGGGTTTAGGGTTTAGGGTTTAGGGTTTAGGGTTTAGGGTTTAGGGTTTACTGTCCTCCACTGCTCGCCGGTCGGTGCTGGTGAGCTGCCGCACCGCGCCCGTCTTCAGGGGAGCGCCGGTATAGTAGGCCTCGGCAGCTCGGGACTCAATTGACCGAGCTTAGATGGCGTATAGGGTTTGGGGTTTAGGGTGGCATCTTGCAGGGTTTAGGGTTTAGGGGTTGTATAGGTACAGTAAAGGATCCTGACTTCAGGGTCAGGGAAACAAGAGAGGTGGCACGAAGACGAGGCCATCGTCAACTTGAACGGCATCATGTCATTCAAATGCTGAAAGAGGGAAAGGATCTGTCCATGCGAGGTGTCCCTTTTCTGCGTCAAAAATCCTACTTAAGGTTGTTCATGTTGTTCTTGCTGTTGTTGGTTCTTCTCGTTGCTCTTGTTGCTGTTCTTACTATTCTTATTGTTCTTGCTAATCTATTGCTTCGCGTCGCATTCCAGCACTTCACAAAAACCCCAGCCAAGTGTCGAAGCTCTTCCCCAGCTGCCCTGCCAGTCGTAGGGATCCTGTAGCCTAGGTCCCCACCAAGCCGTCATCGAGGAAGTACTGGGAGATACTGGATTGGGCACGGAAAGCTAGGGCAGAAAAATGCGAAGCTGTGGCAAACCGCCGCCGGGCAGCTGCGGCGGCATCGTGGAGCAGCTTGCGTTGCACCCAGCCTCAAGAGGTGGAGTTCGGGAGGCCCTCTGGGGATCACTCGAAACTGCAGACCATGCGCCGGCAAACAAGCTCGGAATCCTCCGAACATGCAACATGAATCCCTGGCTCCCCCCCCCCCCCCTTCCCCAAGTGTCAGAACGAAAGCACCCAGGATGCTGCTGGCAGGGGATGTCTTGCCACTACTGTGTCCCCTAGCAGTGGGCTTCTTTTGGTTGATGGAGTCCGTGCTTCGGAACCACAGGGAGCGTGAGATATGGACAGGCACAGTTGGGGCTGGACGCCTCAACTTGCCATTTACCTAGCTGTCATCAGAACGTCTGTGAACCTCCTACACAAGCCGTTAAGAACGGACGTAATGTCTGGCACAAGTCAGGTCAAGTTTCCAGCCTGGGAATGAAATCACAGGTACGAGCAGTGAAGTTTAGCGGATAGCACTACAGTATCCTCAAGCCTGTAGGAGCCTGAATATAAATACCCAAATCATCCGAATCATTCCCTCAATATTCATAGTATACTCCAAAACCCCGTTCTGGACCTTTGGTCACAGAAGTGTGATGCGATGCTTCAACTGGACCAATCGATCTGCATCAAGTTGTAGACTTGTTCAGTGCTACTTGCGTCTGCAGATGACACCTTCTTTACTTCTTGGACTTTGACGGGCATTCGCCGTCTTTCGCCCGAATCGACTTCACAACCCGATTCTACGTACTTAGGCCCGCCGGGTCTTGAACACATGCCCCAGAGACAGTACTGCTCATGAGATTGAACCTGCATGACCCAACCTGCAGAGGACTGTGAATCCTGTAGCTTGGTGCATGCAGGGTCATGCGGGATTTGCATCGTGAGCCGCTATGGGGTGTTCATGGGCGCTTTCAAAATCCAGGAGCCTTCGGTCCACATGCAAACCCTTATGAGCCCTTCACATTCTTTGGGCTTTTGGGACTTAGGGCTTTCACGGGCTCAAGGCTCTGGCTGCGCCAACCATCACGCACTTAACGCCCAGGTCACCTCGTCGTCCCAGCGCCCCAGTGCACATCTCACCAGTGCCCAAGATCGTCGAGCCTGGCACCGCGTCCTGTTGAGGGATTGCAGGGATGGGAACACGCAGATGGCCCGGATGGTAGCCCTCCTCTGCTCTCCCGAAATCCCTATGGCGCAGAAGGTGCACAGCTCCTTGGCCCAGTCTTGCACTGCTTCCTGCCAGGCAAACTGCTTTCAAGGAACATGAATTAGGCTACCAGAATGTGGCAACTAAGTGCCATTCACATGAAAACTTGCTCCTTATCAGCAGTGCACGTGGACAACAGGACACCGAATGAATGTGTATATATATATACACACACATATATAAAGAGGGAGAGACAGCATAGCTCCCTTGGAACATGCCTATACACTCACCAACACCGAAAATGAACTTGTAAGTACCCTGAACCCTAAACCCGA